GTGTGTGTGTGTGTGTGTGTGTGTGTGTGAGAGAGAGAGTGAGAGAGTAAAAGATGGCGAATTGAGTCACGCCCAGATACTGCACAGAACGTGATGAAAATGCGTCCGAGAAATGAGTACACATTATTATAATACTTCCACTATACCATTAATAACCGTCCCTTATCGTTTATTCTGATCCACGAAAAAAAAAAAAATGTAAATAAAATGCAATAAAATAACAAAATTCATCTTTAATTAAGATACGAATTTATATTGTTTCGTTCTTTTTTTACGATCATAAAATTCTTGAATATATCAGATCAAATAAACAAATGAAATAATAATTTTTAATTATAAATATTTTAGCGTCCGCAACTCATTATTTCTCCTCTTTCGTATGCAAATCTTAACGATCACTTAAGTCTCTGAGACTCTCCGCAGAGTATAAGTAAACGTGTGCGCTATTTACACTTAGGCTACTTTCTTTAGGAACATTAAAGTCATCGAATCAATCACGCCTGATGGCGAAGGTGTTCAAGTCGCTCTCAATAAGAGCGCTTGCAAACATCTTCCAGATACAAATAAGGCGATAGGCAGAAAATCGAATCGAATTGCGATCTCTTCGACTTGGTGGAAATATCGGAATTTGAAAGACTCACGGGTTTCGTTCGAAAGAAGATTAGAAGAAAAAAATAAATAAACCCTAAACAGTACCTTGTTCCCGTAAATCGCAATATTTAATTTTGAAATCAAACAAAAAAAAGCTGGGAAACAGAATAGAAGCGTGAAAAGTGAGTTTAAGAATCGTGTAGAAATCTTTCGAAAAGAGTTCAGAAGATTTGTAAATATCATAAAAAATAATATGAGAAACATTTGTGAAACTCATTACGTTTCATACGTACTGTTTAGGGTTAATAATGTAATAACTTAAACACCAAGAGATGTGTAAGTATTTTATGTATCCCAAATTGTAAAATTTGCACTCGCGGAACCGATTGCGGGGCGATACGCAATCACAAGATTATTCTTGATCATTCTAAAGACTACGTCGTTCAGGAACAACTTGCCAGTCACTTGTAATCACCGTGAAATATTGCAGTATTTAAAAAAGTACCTTTGCATATCACAAACAATCTCTGAGTCTACTCACTTTCTTTCCCGCCATCGAAAGCAGGATCACCACGCGAATACCACGTAAACATCCCCTTCTTCAGGACACGAAACAGTTTTTTTTTTCTTTTTTTTAGATAAATGTTGCCGCCCTCCATGACTGGAACTTCTCGAAGTGAACTTTCAGCTACCGGATGTTAAAAAGAGCCTTAGACATTCTGCATGTCAGACTTCCAGAGTGTACCGTACCTTGGATCCTGCATATCTTCAAAGCCAGAAAATCAGTCTTACGTCCTCGGAGTTTTAGAGAGTCCCCCGAATATGCTTCAGAACTTCGGGAGTTTGATTGCCATTAGCAAATGCATATTTCTTCGCCTGAAGAAAAGGATCGCTCTCTCCAAGCGTGAAAAAGACCGCTTCTGAGACCGAGAACAGTCTTCGGATCCTAGCGATGACCTAGTCTTTCTTCAGGAAGGCACAAAGGAGATTCTACATCCTTATGAAGACCTCGTCAGCGATTGGAGTAAACGTTACTGCTGAGGACGACGATGTCAGTTCTCTTGCCTGGCTCATCTCGTCCTCCGAGGAGGAGGGCGCATAGAAGGCGTCATATACTCAACGATGGCCTCTTTTTACGATCCTTGGTGGTGTTCTTGCCGAAGATCGTCCCGAGGACCCTCGAGACTGAGTGTACGCCCAGTTTTCTGCGGATCGGCAACGCTCGCAGAAGTTGGACCGATCTCGCCTCCCGCAGGAGCGCCTGAAAGGCTAGCGCCGCTCCCGCGGGACTCTCCGCGGCGCTCACCTCGTAAAACTGACATCCGTGCGCCAGCGACAGCTGTTGGCCTTCGTCCACGCACACTTCTCTGCAACAAAAACGTTTATCGATCCCTCTTTAATGACCTCTTCGACGAATGCGCGCCTTCGAGATGCCTGAGATTTAAAGAAAAGATTTGAAACGCCAAGAACCTACGGACATTCTGCGTTACTTCACAATATTAATAGAAAATTCCGAAATAGCTTTTTTTTAGCGTTTCGAATCTTTTCTTTAAATCTTTACTTAACTTAAGTTTTCGCGAGTTCATTGGACTTTAAGGTGGTTGTATCGCATAGAAACGCCAATGCATAAAGGCGTCGTTCGGTGAGGAAGAAAATTACTGTTAAAAAATTGCGATCTGCTTGAACAATAATAATATTAAAAAATAAACTTTTTAAAACCCTTGCATTTTTGCCGTATATCCTACAGGAATGGGATATATGGCTATTCATAGGGGGAGGGGGGATATGTACGGCTCATGAAAAATTTACAAATAATGCATATAATAACACAATAATTAATAAAATGTGTTTTATAAAATTTTATTAAGAAATAAGAATGGTAAATATGTATATGAAGTAATAAATAATAATTATAATCTTCCTATATATATTACGAGTGTTATGACATGAAGTACATATTTCATATAATGCATTTATTGTATTTAGTGCACTGAATTCAATCTGCGCACTTTGTATGCTTTCAGCATAAATCCCGCTCACTAAAAATGCCGTATATCTCAAACAGGTGGGATACATAAGACAACAAACTAAACAAAGAATATGAAAGCAAAGCACATTGTATTTTGTTACACAACATGCTTTACTATTCCACTACACGTATGTATCACGAAATAATCACTAAGTCTTTTACACGCCCTACATTAATTATTTTATGTAGATTATAATTTATGATGGCGTTATTTATTATAGTGACAAATCGAGATTCAACTCACAATAAATTCATTAATATTAACAGTAAGAAGCTGAAATCATTAACACAATACTAATATAACACAAAAGCATGTAACAGAGTTGCGAGAAAATTACCCCCACTCCTTCGATTTTTCCTGACTTCTATGGCATAAATCCCAGTGTATTTGCCGGAGTTACC